CACTACAACGGACGTTTGGCAACGTTTCGGCGGTTACGTCATCCTCAGGCGTTTTTTAACCTTAAACTTATAATTAGAGTGCTACCATTGGGTAGTTACTCAGCAAGTGTTTTTCATGTCATTATATACAGTATGTTCTAATATACTAGATGTATTTATTTAATACAGTTGTAACTGTCTTTAAGAAATAAAAAAAAAAAACTTATAATACAGAAAGTTTTTTTTTTTTTAATATTCATGAGAAGCAATCGATTTGAGTTTCGAAAAAGTTGTTAATCGATTTCTCTGACGTCATAAGCCATGATCAATTATAAGTAGATGGCTATACCCTGTTTATCCAGCTAACCCAAGATCCGGCAATAATACAATAAGTAGCTGAGGTAAAGGAAGGCCTGTTATATCAGTAGCCACAGAGGCAAACAAGAGCTAGGGAGGGTAAGATTAAGAAAGGGGAGGGGGTAAAGGGGGCGGTGCCTCATTAGCCCCTAGGCCAGTAGTGATAATAAAAAAGCGAAGGGGGGGGAGGGGCGCCGGCCATTTTGGTTCAGCCCCCCACTAATGATGATGTGTGGCTGCTCCGCCAATTACGGCCCTTATCCAGTTAGCATTCGCCGTCTCGATTTATGCTCCCCGTTCGGATTGCTTTCTGATATATGGCCCCCCCTTTTTTTCTCCCGACAAACAAAGCAATCTACACGGATATTTACTTGTTTTCCAGAACCGTCCGGGGATTTTTTTTTTTTTACCTTTTTATAACCATAACCGTCACCGGTTCCGATTAGATCGTTTTGGGGCGTGATTGTAATCTCGTTTTTTCCCCTCCATTTTTCCTTTTTTGCGGTTATCGTGAAAAATATAAAATTGGAAAAGTCTAAACGACCAGACCCTGCGACATAAACTGCTCGTCTGATATTTAAGACCACTTGAAAAATAGCAATGAAATACAAACTTTTCCAAACAAAAGAAATTATCTGACTGGATGATATCTTATCGGTTTATTGCAAAAAGTTCAGTTTTGATAGAGGTGACTTTTGTGAATTTCGACCTTACTTATTGTTTTAAAAAATCAGTAGATGCACTAAAATAACACAAACATAATTTACATTAGAAACATAGTTACAGCAAGTGCACAATTGTCTGATTTTACAAAGAGAAAATTCATCGAAATTCCTAGTGATTTAACGTTATATAATGTCACTTAATGACTGTTTACACTAAACCGACAACATATAACATGAATATTTTCTTTTCATCATGCTACAGACTAATGCAGTTGTATTCATAAATTAACATATTCAGAACCTGACGTAGATAAGTAGCAGATCCAGGACCTTAAATTTTCTTTGGAGGGAAGGGAGAGATGCGGCCCAAAATCATTTGTTAATATATATATATATATATATATATATATATACATTCGGAACAAATATATATAAGTTTATATATAAATAAAATTCGGAAGAAAAAGAATGAAGCTGAAGCTACCTTTAAGAAGTGGTACTTAAAGTCCTATAAAAAAAAATGTCATCACGCGAACAATAACACTTTCAGAGATACTTTTTTTTTTCATTATTCATAGTTATATTTAGTAGCTGTATGTCAACAGCCACACTGCAAAAGCCTGTAAGTGTAAACAATAAAATTATTCATATGGCAATATAAAATACGCCTGTTTATTATTTCATTAACTGGATTTTCAGTTTAAGTTTTACACCATGGTTTTGACCAAGATATGCCGAAATTGACCTGAAAAGATCAAACCTTTATTTATGATAATATTGTACTTACAGGTTTTCTTCAGTGTGGCTGTCGATATGCATTATAATTTAAAAAATAATGACAAATATGAACCAATGAAAAAAAAAAAAAACATTTTTCACTCTGAAGATGCAATTGTCATGCATGAATTAGATAAAATCAGTAAAAACTTATTTTATTATTCATCATTTTTTAATATAGGAAACCTGACACATCCTGTCCATATAAAATATTATAAGCTACAAGTGATATTCTGTAGTCTGTGATTGCTATAAGTAGTCTGCTGAGTAGGAAAATAGCAGAGGGAAATATAATATGAAATTATACTCTTCTATAAAAATACTCAATTTTTACAAACAAACTTTTGTACAAACAGTAGAGACATGTTTTATAAATATTGTGATGTTACGATACATATCACTTTAAATGTCTAAAAAACACTACGTAGTTTGTGGTGATTTGTTTTGGAATCTTTTCCTCTGCTTGTTAATATCTTTCTTTGAATGTTTATATGAGATTTCAGTCTCTGGTCTTTATTCATCGAAGCTCTCAAAATATCTTAACGATAATTTTTGAGTTTTAATTTGTTAATAACGCATGTTATCCAACAAAATCTCTATCTATTGTCCCTTTCGTCTAAAATCTGAATCCTATCGAAAAATTCCCAAGGCTCCATATTACTATATCAATACCAGCTAAAAAAATAAACAATAACAGCTTTCTTTAATGTTCATAAATTGAATACAAGTACCGAAATTCATTTGGGATCGTATTCAAAAGCCACCCAAATGGAAACAAATCGTTAAATAAAGATAGCTGTTTGAAGAACTTTAAAGATTGGCCCAAAGAAAAATAATTTATTCAATATCAGCTCGCTTATATTAGATGCATTCAACTACTCAAGTATTATATCAAAGCTTGTCTAGATATCCTCACTTATACATATACAATTACGCCATGAGCGGATCTAAGGAGGGGGCTTTCGGGCTGAAGCCCCCTCCCCAGCCCCCAAATGGTAAAATATAACCATGTTTTATGGAAAAAAATATCTCTTAAAGTATTATTGTTCGTGTAATTACATTTAAAAGGAGATAAGGAATCACTTAAACACCATTTCATATAGATATTTATTTTATTTCTTTAATTATCGTCATTTTTATGAAAAAAAAGCTTTCGGGCTGAAGCTCCCCAAAATTAAATCCTGGATCCGCTAGCAAATTACGCTATAATCATTGTGTATCTAAAGCAATGAATAAAATACTACGGCAATTAAAGGTTGTTAAACAATGCTCGTAATTCCAGGACTGTACTGCAATACATTAATTAAAACTTTATAAGGAAAGAAATTGGTTACTGGAAAATTACTGTACCTAAAATCTGGGTATAGAACACCCAATAGTGGATTCAGAATTTTATTTTATTTTTTAGGAGGGGGGATAGAAGCGGTATTTTTCTCCCTTTATAATAGCAATAATACTTATAGAGAGAAATTTTAATTAATTCACACGTGTTTACATTTAGTACATTACATAAACATTTAAAAAGAGAGTATATTGTGTTGTTTAAGTATTTTCCTTAAATCACTTATAGGAATAAATATGGACCGATAAAAAAAAACATTATTTTGTGCAGCTTCAGTCCGAAAGCTCTCTCTTCAATCCGCTAGTGAAAAGTCCAAATTTTTCATTAAACTATCAACATAAAAGGCCAAATTTCATGTACTTGACAAGTTAAAGAGATGTAAAAAAAGTTATTTCTTTTCCAGGTATATAAAAAAAACAATGCGTATTGTTTATAAAATTGAAACTTTAATCTTCAACAAACTGCACCTTTTAAGTTAAGAAGACTCTGAAGAATAGCTAAAACATGAATTTTATATTTTGCAAACTCAAGGTTTTAATGTGATTATGTGTCAATTTGTTAAATAATTTAATACTTTTTTCAGTTTGAATTCACAAAATGTATTAACTTAACTTCACTTAGTCTGAAGTTCGTCTGAATGAATGTGTAAAAAACACGTTGAAACGGTAATAAAATATTTCTATTAACATAAATTTTGTTTCCTCTTCTTATTCGTCATATTTACTATAATGCGTTTTAATTTTTTTAAGAAATTGATAGGCACTCTATATTAGCCTAGAATACCTATTACAAAGTACTTCATTAGGCGTTTCATAAAAAAAAAAAAAAAAAAAAAATACATTAGATTTCGTATTCTCTTACAACTGTAAGAGTTCAAAGTTGTTCCTGTTACTATTACCCAAGAAAATGCAGTGATAATTTTTGAATCCCAGTGTATATGTAAAATATTATTTATATTTAATAATATATATATATTTAATATTATTTTATCTAATCATCAGTGGACATCGTATGATTCATGACGATAGGCGAAACAAAATATGTAACAACATTGTGAGTGAAGTAAAAAAGGTAAGCAAGACAAGCGATATGGACAAACTACGTAAATTTTATTTTAAAAAAAAAATCTTGATTTTTAACTTTTAAGTTCATACATTGGTTACACTCATAATTCCGAAATATGCCGTATATTTATATCAACGGTGGAGATCGTAAATTATTTCACAGGTCATTGTTTCTGCATTATTTATATAGAAATATTACAAATATTAAATTCTTATTTATTTCATACAAAATCAATCTAAATAGATTAGATGTAAGTAAAACATGACGATCACAGAATCAATTTTAGAATTAAGCTATTCGGATAGTTTACTGTAAGAATGTAAAAAAAATATATATATATATATATATTTTTTTTTTGTTTTATTTCTTGAGGCTGTAAATCCAGTAGTAATTGTTGGAAACAGATTGTTGTGAATATATAAAATTAAAACTCATTCAATTTCCTTCTTTTTTTTTTCATAAAAGCGGAACATTTTTCAAAGTAGAATAAAGTCATTCGATTTATTTTCTTCTAAGTTTTTTTTTTTTTAGTTTACTTCTGAAAAAGTTTGCTCATTCTTTCCTCTTCAGGAGGTAGAATTATCTGTTTACTAATATCTTGCTTACACGTACTTGCAGACTTATGCATCAGTCTCTGAACAAGATTCTTGGATTTTGTGGATGATTTTAGAAAAAAAACTGAGACAAGTGGGTCAAAAGCCAGAAAAAAAAATTAACGATTATATTATATTATATTACATTTTTTTACTACTTCTGAGTATCCTACGATATCGAGAAATGTCAAAAGATGATACACTTTAGAGATGGTAACTCACCAAGTAGCCAGGGCGCTACGCACTCGTTCTCCTTGGCACTCTTGAGGATGGTCTCAGGTAGCGGCAGAGAATGTCTAACCATCGCGCCGTACAGCCCGTACTCCGCCATGATGGTAGATCGGCCCCAACACTTTTCCGTCTTCCTCCACTTGGCTCTCCTGTTCTGGAACCAGACCTGCCGACACATCGCGCCATTCTTAGATAAATATAAAAAAATAATAATTAAGTAAATAAAAAATGATAAAAATACAATTCTCTGTTAAGACAACCCATCAAACATTTTAGGGTTAATTATTAAGTCGTTTATATTATTGGAGGCATGAACATGTTTGCCTGTTCCTCTAGCAATGAGCTTCAAAAATAGTTTGAAGAATGCTCTGTAACATACAATGGAACCATAATGGATATGTTTAAATACATTTCATTGATATTATTAGATATTTAAATTAAAATATTTTAATCATTATACGTATATTAATAATAACTATCTTCATAAGCATTCCAATATTTAATTATAAAGTCGAATCATTATAAAATCGACAACGGTAACACGCACACTTAAAATGAGTTTCCCTTATGTTCAACAATCTAGGTAGCATTTTATTTTTTTATTATTTCGTTTTATTAGCATTTCATAGATTATTTTGATGAATGATGTATAGTCATTAAGAAAAATAAATAAAACATTTTATTTATATAAATTGTAAAAATTCTCTGCACTAACGAGTTTATTTTCTTTTTCAAACTTTTCAGGTAAAATATTGTTTTCAAAATCAGCTATGGTAAAGCCTACAGTAAAGTAGCAAGAACACGATTGCCTAACTGTTGCAAGACCAAGAACAAGAATGGTAAAAAAAAAAATTGATTTTTTGAATAAAAATTATGACAAAATAGTTACTAATACTTGACAATTTTAGTTACTATATGTAAAGAATTGGTATAACGAATATACTTTTGCATTTAACTCTTCTAATTTTTCATTCGGGCTTAGTTAGGTTCCTCCTATCCAAAAAATTACGGTAATATCTCTATAGTAATAAGCTAATAGGTAACTGCAAGACTCTTGCACAAGACCAAGTCCAAAAGGAATTAGCATACGCAGATGCGTATACATAACTAATGTAAGTATAATAATCTTGTCGATTGACACAGTAATCTTTTGAGGGAGGAATTATTTGTTGAATGATAATATTTAAATGAAGTAACACATCCTTTGAAATTGAGAAAAGCTTACTACTAAAGTAACTGAGGAATCGATAAGCCTATGGCTAAAAAAATGTCTCAGCATATCGCCACATCTTAATTTTGGGATTGAAGATATCCCTCATCCAATACCTTTTCAGCCTTCTACGGGTGTTATTGCGTATAAGAATGGTTACTCTGTCTTGTAAAAATAATTTAGTGTGAATACAATACCATTTGTTATGACACCGTTTATAGTAGGTCACACAAAAGGAACACTATATGTTTCGTTAAATGTTGGATATCAGGTTGTAAAATAATAATCCTAAAGTAACAAAAATCTTTCTATTTAATCTTAGATGTTATGGAAACTTTAAAATTTTCTTACAATAATATTTTTTGGTATATCGTACGTCCGTGAGCATATACAAGGTTCAGTGGCATAATTAAATAGAAATCAAAGGTCAATATCTGTTTTTTTTAACGTTACATTGAAATTTCTACGTGACGTTCTTGGTAATTCTAATCGGATTGCTGACAATAAATTGGACAAGTGGCAATACCAATCTGTAAATTTCTGAAACAAATCCAACTAATCGAAATATCTGCTAATCCACAATGAGTGTTGCTGGTCCAGCTAGAGATATCCTTTGTCAACAAGGGGTCGGCGTAAGTGAGCTGTTGCAGATTAGACCGGACCCTAAGGCAGTTGGTTCATTAGTCGCCTACAATCGGAATGTAATCCATCAGTGGATCCAATCAGGCCTGCTCTTACACTCTCTGACAGCCGATGCACGTTTTCTATTGGTCGAGGGCCAAGTGTCTTAGTGGATTGCGGCCTATATGTGATTAGAGGGAGCTTCGAACTAAACGTTGTTCTTACGATGCTGATCTCAAGGTCTGTAGTTTGAAGAAAACCTGTTCGATTAATAGCATTAGCAGACTGACGATACCAAGCAAGATTATTCGATATTACCTATCCTTGTGTATTTGCAGAAAAAAACAATTTGTCGAAAAACAACATACTATACGTTAAGTTGAATTTGAAATAAACGTTGTTCCGATATTTTCTATGGTCTCGAAGGTAATATTTTAATCAAATTTTCAAATAATTAAATCATAAATAATGCATTAATTGTGACTAAGAAATTTCAGAAACTTTCATTCCATATTTTTGTTCGTGAAAGTTTTATAAAAATGGTAATTATTACAATATTTTCTAGAATGTTCATCGGGTTATTTGCACGTGAGTATTTCACCTAATGCCCAAGCATGATGGTATCGTTTGATTGTGAAAAAGTCGTAATGGACTACTTAGGAAATTTTCGGAATATATACTAAATAAAAATTCAAAAAAATACATTCGCATGAATTTCATTAAGAATTTTTATTGTAATGTTTCAAAATTTTTTATATATGCTACATCTTATATGCATATTTGAAGTTTCGAATATATTTTGTTTAGCTAATCTCTTCATTTTTTCCTTTCTACTAATTATGCGAAGGTATAATAATAATAATATGAAAGCACGAGTAGTTAGATTAATTAATTTACTTGTTCATATTTACTTCTTTGCACTACGTCGATGGTCGATGGATAATAGTTTAAACATATACAGTGTTGTACAATGACAAAGAGACAAGGAATACAGACTCCGCCGATGACAGTAACAAAACTTGAACGTAATCAGTTTGACAGGCGGCGCGCCACGTGCGAGGCCACGTGTCCTATCTCATCGTTACCGCAGGAGACACCCTAGCTCCAGTTAAATTACACAACATAATGGAATAATGGTGAATTACAACCTCATCAGTCACTTCTAGTTATAGCCACCATCCGATAGGCATTAGCTATAACTTGATTTTAAGGCGTATAGTCTTGTGTGCTCCTATTTGTCCCGGGGCATTCTTCGCTACGTGTTCGTCGATTGGAATTTATTGCCAAAGTAATTTTTCAGTCGAGCGTTTCATCGAATGATAAATGTGTGTAGGATTCTTTAAAGAATAATTCGTTAGGACAGGAAAGCTTACAATATACATGTTTACAAGACCATATCGTCCCTTAGCAAGAACAGAATTCCTGACTCAAAATGGCAGCTTCTGAGATAAGAACTCTTAAGATTCAAAGGTATCATTGCAAATGTAGAACACATTTCTAAATTATTTTTGATGAATCGTTCCAAGAAAGAGAAATATGACTAAGATAAGAATAAAAAAAATGGCGAACAGCATAGGATTAAGGAACACAAAGAAGCATTTTTGTTTGGCAGATTGATCACAATATTCTTTTTTTTACTAAGGCTTATCTGAGAGTGAAATAAGAAAAGAGGGAATATGAAAAAAATTAAATTTCATTTATCGCAGTAGCCGGGAAGAAAAAAAAAATCAAAACTCCCAAAAATCAATTCTCTAATAGCAAACCAATTAACATACAGATTTAGGGGAAAAAGTTGAAACACCCAAAATTCACTTCTATAACAATTTTTTTAACCCTGAAACTTACATTTTGTAACTTACAAAATATTAATTTAAAAACCGTTTGATGGTTTAAAATTAGTTTAAACAAAAAAAAATATATATATATATATATATATATCTTAATCACAGGAATTTATTTTAGATGTTTATCATGATTTTCGTAGTAATTTTAAGACATTGTCTGAATTTTACCTACCCACAGAATTTTTTTTTTTTTGAATCCTCACCTTTGCAATTAATTTTTCACAAATTTTGACGGTGAGATAGCAGCGATCCTCATAGCTCTAAGAACAACTATCAGGAAGACAAGTTCAGAGCGCTGTTCTCTTTGTCCACTCTAAATCCTCGCTATTACTAACGTTAATAAATGTCTGTCGAGTGCTATCTTGGAGTGCAAATCCCTCTTCTACGATCTAACACTCCGAGGCACCAATGTGGTCCTACAGTGGATTCCGAGCCATTGCGGTATTCCAGGAAATGAGGGAGCGGATAGTCTCGCCAGGAGAGGAGCAGAATTGCCTCAAACAGTCCATCCAAAATCTTACGATTCAATTCGACGAATGGTGAGGATGGTAGTGAAGGAGGAAACAAAAAATATGCACGAAGACAAGGTGGAAGGGAGACGTTATGGATGTTTGGTGGAAAACCCGATCCCAGCAGACTTACCAAGAAGAGATGCAGTAGCCTCCTGCTTCCGCCTGGACACTGATCACGACTATCTACAAAGTCATCTCCACAAGATAGGCGTCGCTGAGGATCCTAGCTGTAAATTATGTGAACAAGCGATAATGGATGCAGAATACCTAAACGAATGTCCTGTTTTGACGGATATTAAGAACCAAACATATGTAAATGATTATATAAACAAATCAAACTTATGCTGGGCAACAAGATGTCGGGTGGTCGAATGACCAATGACTATGGCATAAGAAAAAAAAAATATTTTTTTTGTTTCCATGAGCTATCTATCTAGTATATGATTCTTTGATGCCAAAATATGACATCATATTCCTGACACTATATTAATTTTTTATTTATTTATTTATCTGAGGTATCAACACATTCTCACCACAAATACAGAAAACATAAAATAAACAAAAGCAAAATAACAATTAAATAGTAATAAAAAAATAAATACTACGAAAAATACAATAACTTAAAGATAAGTTAAAGCTATATTAAAATAAAAGTTTTAAATGACATTAATATGTTAAATATTATATAAATACGTAAATTTGGACCTACTAATGTCCCGATATGTCCGAATAAAACAAATAATTTGTTTTTATAGATAGAAGAATTAAATAAAAATATTTTTCATCAACTTATAGAGAATACCATGGTCACATTAGGAAGAAATTAATTTCATCAAAATTTTAATTTAAGATATTAATTAATTAAATTTTAATTATTGAGTCAAATTGGGTGGTGACCCCAAATTCAGAGGCAACTAGTAGAGATATTAATAATTCGGAAATGACTGAGTATTAAATGCTAAAGCCCTCTTTTATCCGTTCCGCCCAGTTG